GGCAGTATCGACCGACGCGCAGCAGAGGTCGATGCGACAGCGTACTGTCTGAGTGCATACTTTGAGGTATCTTCGTAATAACCTTATTATTATACATCTTTTCTTTCCAAGGATACATCATGGGAATGTCGAAATCCAAAAAGTTTAGAGGACACTTACGCGCGTAAATATTCCATATTTGGAATTCGCATTTCCTAATATGGTAGTATGAAAATACCCCGTAAAATACCGCAAAATTACGGCACGCTGTAACTTATGGCGTTACGGTGACAGATGTATAATAATACTTATTACAGTAATCATTATTCCATTCATTCATTCATTAATTCCAGTGTTATTGAAAAAGCATTATCCGTGCTTTCAGAATTTCATTTTTGACTGGGAGTTTTTTGTGGTTTAATAGTGTGTCTGTCTGTGTGTATGCCTGTTGGTGTGTGTGTGTCTTATCAACATTGTGACGACTTGCAATTAGCTTTACACCTACCAAGTGATGACAAACCTACCAAGTGACGGCCCTCACTATTTTTTATAATTTATATAAATATTTCATCGAATATAAGTCAAGTTTGCATAGCATAGGGTTAGTAAAGAGGAAAGCACAGTAACTTTACATTAATATAAATATACCAGTACAACATCTAATACTTCCATGTTGTTATGTGAGAAAGATTGCGCTATATCACAATGTCACAAAGAACATACTAATAAAATTGTGTAATATCTCACCTTTTGAATTTTGCCTAAGTCTTGCATACAGATCTTTTGCTTTCTCGTGACTGTAAAAAAAGTACACACACATTAAGAAGTTTTTTGAACTCCACTCGGCCATTTTGAATCAGATTGTCAAACCAATACATCTGTACATCTATGACATGATGTGTAATGAATATACAAAATCTGAACATAATCAGTCAAAGCATGTCAGAGATATGGCCTTTAAACCACATTCATTAAAACAAAATGGCCGCTAATCGACATTTTGAATCCAGTGAAGCACTTTGGGAGCACTTCAATGAATGACTCGCTGCTTTTATAGTCAGTTTCTCTTGATTATTCAATGAATCTGGCTACATAGTGTTTTTCATGTGTACGTTTTCAAAAACCGCTATACCATTTCGTTTGTTACATATTTGTGTATTCAGAACTAAAAATATATTGTTGTGAATAACACTTTATGTAGATCTCTTTAAGTGTTTTAATGTTTGCTGATTCATTTTGTCATTTTTGTTAAGGGTGAGTGCTAATTTTATGCTTACTGACTTTGTGGTAATTGGTTTGCTGTGACTGATAGGAACAATTAGATTGGAAACTTAGTATTTTATATTTTGAATTCACTAAGTAGAAAAGTGTGTACTTATTGCTGCTTTATGCTAGCTGATATTCATTCTGTGTATTGTTAGCCGGTGTGCAATTTCTGTTGTTATTTATTAAATCATTTTTTTAAGAAACACTTTCATGTGTGTTTGGCCATACACCTCCCTTGCACAGGAAAATATAGGTGAAACTGTCCATGCCATAACCCAAACCCATGATATAATTTGTCTACTTTGTCATCTATTGTGACCAGGTTATGGAGACCAGGTGTCATTGATTACAGGGGTCATTGGACGGTCACTGAGAGACTGCTTACACAAACAGACCAAGGTAAGTGGATAAAAAATTGTAATAAATTAACCAGAATAGGGTAGCACACATTAACCTAATAACAAGACTGTAAACCAAAGTATTTTCATAACAGGAAAATTTCACCAATCTAGAAAACATTTCATTTGAGTGTGTATGACATCTACTGTAAATCAAAGAAAGCTTAGAAAGAACTCCCATGTGCTGAGAGTATTGGAGACACATTAAATATAATTCGA